TGGGCATGGGTCAGTGGGTGATGAGCATAATTTGTGTTTTTTGGGTTTTATCCCTCTCTCACCTTTTCCTTTTATTATTATTGTTATCTTTGATTTTTTTTATTATTATTTTACTTTATTTCAATCACTAAACTGTTCTTATCTCAACACACGTGTTTTACCTTATATTTTTTTCCAATTCTTACTTGCCATTCTTCTATATGAAATGTGCTGCTTTACATGAAAATCCCCTAACTGCACATGCAGGAATAGCTGGGGGATGCAGAAGCTGTCTGAATTGAACTCCTAGGCATTTAGACACTAGGACTAGTCTGCTGCTGGCTACATTTTTCTTTTCAGGCATATGGCTTTGTTTTCTAAATCCTTCTGTTTTACTTCATTGGCTTCTTAAAGTATTTATTTTTCAGTCTGATTTTAGCAAATTGAGGTGTATATCAAAGTGTTGCCTTTTTTGTGTCTGTAGGACACTGGACAACTTCTTGCCTGGAGATTAGAAACCTCCTGAGATCTGAGTTTTCTTTCACTGCAGAAGTCTGACTGGTGCTGCACAGACAGCAGCAGCATTAGTCCTCTACCAGTCTGCTGTGAGGCAGGGTTACAATTTTGTGGACATTATTCAAGTTACTATTTTGTGGATGTTGTTCACCTGTTTGAGCTGTATTTCATTTATAAGTTAATGATAATGCTTTGGTTATGCAGTTGCCCCATTGTCAGGTGATACCAATGAAGAAAATATTAGACTTCTGAGTGAAAGTCTTTGTTATGAGGGGTCTTTTTCTTTAAATAAAGCTCACATTCCCAGGTGTGAGCAACAGGGGGTCTTAGGTTGGTATTAAAAGGGTATATTTGTGCATTTATATTTATGCAATGCTGGCATACGTTCTGGATCAACAGCCATAAAAAAATGAAAAATAATTGTCTGTTAGGTGATGGAAAAAACAGAAGATGTGACAAACTTGTATGTCCTGTTGATGGCTAAAAGGACAGAGAAATACCTCATCATTGAGCTAATGTAGATTTATCCCATCTGAATGAGTTTGCCAGAAGTGAAAGTTAAACCTGCCTTCATCTCCATACATAACTGAAGAAGAGATATAGGCTTTTAATTGGGAACGATTCAGATCTTAACCTTAGTTGGCTTCTGGAGAAGGCCAGGTCAGTCTGTCAGTTTTTTGCATAGAGAACCAGCATTTACTGTATACTTGCATATATGACTCAATGGTCAGTGTGAGAAATATGAGCTCTTGCTCTTACTGTAACCAAGCTTGCCAGGATTATACGCTGCTCTGGCAGGAGCTTCAAAATAATTTCTAATTCAATTGTCGCCATACTTTTTTTCTGCTCCTTGTTCCACCTCTGGTTAACCCACCTAGATTCGTAATATAATTCAGGTTAAGAGGGACCTCTAGAGGATTTAAGAAAGCTGGAGAGGGGCTTTTTTACAAGGGCATATAGTGATAGGACAAGGGAAAATGGTTTAAAAGTGAAAGAGATTTATATTAGATGTATGGAAAAAGTTCTGTACTGTGAGAATGCTGAGACATTGGAACAGACTGCCCAGAGAAGTTGTGGATGCCAAATACCTTGAAGTATTCAAGGCCAGTTTGGATGGGCTTTGAGCAACCCAGGCTAGTGGAAGGTGTCCCTGACTGTGGCTTGGGGGATGGAACAAGATGAGTTTTAATGTCCCTTCCAACCTATCCATTCTACAAATCCAGTCCAATGCCTTGCTCAAGGCAGAGTCAACTGTAAGGTTACATGACTTTATCCATTCAGGTCTTGAAACCCTCCAAAGGATGCAGATTGTATACCTTCTCTGGGAAGCCTCTTCTGCTGTTTGGCAGAAGTCAGAACTACCCCTGATTTAGTTTATTACCATTGGGGTTTGTTGGGTTTTTTTGTGGGTTTTTTTTTTTTGGTGTTTTTTTTTCTCTCAATTGCTATGAAACTCCATAAGGACATAAAGACCTTGGCTCCCTCATTCCCTCATTTAGTAATCTCCTTTAGGCAACAAAAAGATGCCCAGCTCCCCCAGCCTCTCTGTCACATTTTCCAGCCCCAGCCATCTTGGTGAACTTCCATGGGACTCACTCAAATTTGTTGATGTCTTTCTTACATAGAAATTGACACATTATTCCCATATTAGTCCAGATGTAGTCTAAAAATTGCTGGGTAAAGGAAAATAAAGTGAGCTCCTTGTGCTCTTGAAAAATATTACAGTCCAGAATCCAGTAAGAACATGAAACAAATTTGGAGCCTGTTTAGTTTCTGCTAAATATGACGAGAAAGCGCACTCAACTGTGTCAGAGCTCCCTGGCATGTCCTGTCACGCTTATTTGAGAAATCCTTTCTCTAAAACATGACAGCACATTTTTTTCCTTTATTTATCTCTCATTTCACACAGATGTATAATACCTGCAAAAAAAAAAAACAAAACAAAAAAAAAACAAAAAAAAACACCCACAAAGGTTTTGGAATTGGCAATTGGCAATATGTGTCAGTGTGGAGAGCAAAGAAAAACTTAATAAAATTAAAAGGTAGACAAATCGACCCGAAATGAACAGAATCTCAGCAACCAATTCACTACAGAAATTTTACTCAAAATTTCTGATCTAAGAAATAATAGAATTTAGGGGCTTGAAATACATGGGTAACAACGATACAGACTTACATTAATTAGGATGAAGTTCAAATGGGGATTTGCAGATATCTCAAGCACAAGGAACAAAGCAACACCTTGCTCTGTCAGGGAGATTACTTGTGGACTTGCAACTAGGAGAAGGCTTGTTAACAAGAGAGTGATATTTTATAGCAGGCCAGAGATGTGCTGCTGGAGAAGATGGGTTGGATTTTCTTAGACAATTGTTCTGCTGGAATGACAGGAGCCAGTTTGCTAAACACAGAGATCACTTTAGTAGGCTTGTGTGCTCTCAGTTAAGTACTGTCTAGATCTCCTTTCTCATTCCTTTCACATGTTGCTGGCTTTGGGTTAACTTAAAAATTGTCCCACTCTACCTCCTGTATCTCCTGCATCAGTGGATGTCTCAGGTGAGCAAAAGGGTGAAAGAGGGAATTTTCTGAGATGCTCATGAAGTATGGGTAAGTAAATAAGCCTGTGTTTCCTTCTCATATTCAAAATAATAGTGGGTGAAGCATAAGTGAATTCCTCTTTCTGTGTCTATTAGCAAGGGCACACATCTCAGGACTCATATGTCTTTCTGTATGATGCTACAACTGCTGGTCAGATATTACAGTAATGTTTTAAACAGGCAGGACAAGACAGATCTGTGTTACAGCATCCCTTTGCCATTGGTGAAAGCCAAATTACAGGTAATAAGAACAAATAAGCTTTTTGTAGAGGCTGAATGAGAGTCTGTTAATGTCGTGGCTCTGTAATATATTTTCCGTAGTGCACACATTCATCCTTACTGATTCTGCATACTTTCTGGATTCATGGTGAATTCATATTTAGATCAAAGATCGCTCATTTCTTTGGCAGATCTTCCTGTTTCTTTCTTCTCTTAGTCTTTTTCTTCCTCACCTTTCCCACCTTCCCCTTACTCCCTTTGTGTCCAATATAGCCTTTTTATTGATATTTCCTTTTCTCACTGCTGCAGCAGCATTGTCCTTTCTAGCACCAGCTCCTGTAACTGGTGGCTTTGAAACTCAGAATATTTGAGAAACCCTTGTGATTCTTTCCAGGGCTCATATTTGAAAATTAGGAAGAGTCAGTGGATGTGGGCTAATAGCAGGTTATGCTAGGAAATTTTTAATGTTACAGCAGAAATTGCTGTGCAGCTATTTCAGGGATACGTACTTGAGTTGTTACATGGTTGGTAAAGAAATATGATAAAGAGATAGTAGGACTTCAATATTGCAGCAAGAGCATGACTCTACTGCTGTTCTTTTCTTGCAACATTGTATTCTTGTCAGCTAAATAATGACAATACTGAGTAAGAGACTTTGAGGACTGATACCAGACAGTGATTCACTTAAAATACAAGAGCACATATAAACCTGACTCTTATGTTTTACGGCTTTATTCATTAAATTTAATTGAATTCACTCTCTATGTATCCAATTCTGGAGTCATCACTACAAGAGACATGTGCATGCACTGGAGAGAGTTCAGCAGAGGACCATGAAGTCCGTTTAGGGTCTGGAGCATCTTTCCTATTAGAAAAGATGCTGTTCAGTCTGGAGAAGAGAAGGGTTAGGGGGAAGTTCACCTATGTGTATAGATACCTGGTGGGATAGTGTAAAGAAAATGGAACTAGGCTCTTTTCAGAGTGACAGGACCAGAGTCAATGGGCACAAACCGAAACGCTATAGGCTCCCTCTGAATATCAGGGAACACTTTTTTACTGTGTGGGTAACTAAGCATTGACACAGTTTGCCCAGAGAGAAAAAAGTAAAACGATGTCTAGGTATGTTCCTGGTTCTAGGTGTCCCTGCTTGAGCATGGGGATTGGATCAGGTGATCTCCAAACTCAGCCATTCTGTGATCCTTTGTTATTTTCACAGTAATGAGGAACTTTTACGGAAATCTCTATCCTTTACTGCAGTTCTGGTAAAGCTAATGAGGAAGATATCGTGTTATTGTAATCAACTCTTTTAACATTATGTAATCTTAAACTGTTCTGAGGAAGAAAAGCACGCTGCACCATCAGGGTGAAAATGATAGCTGTTTTCCGCTTCAGAACAAGTGAGTGAACATTGCTGTTGCTACCTGCTAATGCTGATATAAGTCGTGAATCTGCGGCTACACATGAGACATCTAATAACCATTTGTGAAGGAGAGTAAAGGGCGTTTTTTAGTTGCATCTTTATATTACACAGAAAAGGACGGCACTTTCATGATGTCAGGACCTTGACTGAGAGTCAAGTGGTTATCTGCAGCTGATAAGATGAATCTGAACAAGAAAACTAAACTGATGAAAAGAAGGGGCTTTGTTTGGTGGCTTTTTTTTTAATTTATCTTTCTTTTGTTCTTCAAACAGTGGAAGCTCTACATTTGGGAACACTGATGGCAGCACATGGTTATTTCTTTCCAATCTCAGACCATGTTCTAACACTAAAAGATGATGGCACCTTTTATCGATTCCAGGTAAGTGTTTTCAACACATTCTTAATTTATGCAAATGAAGGCTTATATTAAAGGCTTTATACAAAAGTTCATAGCAAGTTTTAACGTACTTTGTCTCTTGTGTAACCTAGTAAATAGTGGCAGTTCAAACAAAGTAGTATTGAGGTACTGTGTATTCTTCAAACAATTGCAGACACATTTCTACATTGATCTCTCAGTCTCATTGCATACAAAAAAAAACCCATACAGATGCTTCAGAACAAGTTGGAAAGTTATATATGTATGCCTATACCTACACATATTACTCAGGTACCTACATAGTTGTATTTTATCATGCTAGATTTCAAACTATGGGCTTGGGGACCAGGACTGTTGCTTTTCTGATAATGAATACCAGTCTAGAAATTTGCAGAGAAATGCCACCTTTGGCTTGAAGCAAATACCCTTGTACAGCATCTGATTATGTATTCTACAGAAGCAATTAACTTTGCTTGCCATGTATCACCACTGGCAATAGTGGCTGCATTTTGTATTGCTCTTCCTATTAGGTGGCCCAACAGCTGCTCCAAGATCTTCCTTAGAGATTTGTTGTTTTGAAATGAGATGATGATTATCGCTATGAAACTGATGATATGAAATACCATAGTGATCCTGCCATGTTAGTTTTGTGTTAAATACTAACAGAAAAATATCTGGTACAACAAAATCCATTGTCTTCAAGATATTTACATCTATGCTTTGTCTTAAACATTGTTCAAGCAAGAAGCTATCAAGAATATAAATAACTGAGATTGTGGTCTTTAAAATGCAGATAAAACCTGATATATTGGAGACCAATCATAGTCTCAACCATTGTATTACATTAATTGCTGTGCAATACTTTCATCAGTATTTTGGCTTGAGTTCCACAGACCCATATAAGAAAGGTTCATAATATTTGGTCTAAAACAAAATCTTAGAGTGAATATAATTAATTATGTATAGCACAGTGTGTCAAGAAAGAGAATGATAATTTCATATGTGCATACAGTATTATCATACTTTCATATGTAGATTCTGTGGGTCAGACAATACCAAAACCCTGTCCTTCAGCGAGACCATAAGTTACATGTGTATGTGGGGAACACAAAGAGCAGTCACTCCAAGCCTCCTTGCCCAGATTCACGCTTATGTTTGATCTTGGAGAGAGAATTTGAAGGAAAATATTTCCTTCTCATGATGCTTCAGTCCCATCAATGTTCAGTATTAAAGAGGAGAGGGATGGCACATAGGTGAAGGGACTTACTGCTGAGGGAAGGGCACTGATGTGATGAGGTAACTAAAAAGTGTAAAGAATTCATGGACTGGTTGAGGCTCCAGTTCTTGGTTTTCTCTGCATAAGTAGTGGCCAGAAGGAGAAAATATCTGAGGACTTCATTTTGTAAAGAATGGGGCTTATTTATGGGAGTGTTGGTCATCAAATTCTGAACAGCTTCTGGACTGCTTCTCTCTTAAACGTGTGAAATTAGCACATCTGCTAGCATGAAAATTTGACTGAAGGAAAGTATAGATTAGAATTAGCTGCACTGTGAACAACTAAGAGTACTGCAGCTACCCTGCTGTGGGCTTTCCTCAGAGATGTCTACAGCCTGCATGTTTAGACATGAAGTTTCAGTGAGGGTTAGTTATTAGAATTATGTCAGTTGATTTACATAAGTTAAGGATTTGGCACCTATTTGACATAAGCATAAGAATAAGGTAATTTCCTCAAGTGTTACTCAGTATATATGCACAGTATTTTGTTTGTTTGCTGCTTTGTGGTACTTTTTGCATTGCTATTCCTATGTTACAATTTTTGCTGTTAATGTATGGCATGAGAAAAAATTCATAGTGGCGTCATACTGTTAACTGGAGTTGTAACAGCAAAAGTTATAACTTCACATTCCCCACCAAAATAAGGCTAATATAAAATCTGCTGCTAAAGCTGCTAAATTGGAAGATGAAGACAACATACTCAATGAGGAGGGAAGTTTGACTGCAAATGCATGAATTTTGAACTAGAATAGTTGTTTGGGTGCTTTGGAAATAGGACCCCCTGAGTATTGGACAAGATTCACAAATTTCTGGATATTTTAATAAAAAGAGTAAGTCTTGCACTTGCCAGCACTGAAAAGTTCAGAAGCCTTCCCTGCAGAGTAATCTCTCTCTTCAGTACAAAGGTCTAACCTACAAAAAACAGGCTATCTACAATAATGTTCTCCATGCACTTCATTTTTTGTTTTCCAAAGGGTGACACATTCCCCCATGACGGTAGAATTAATTTAATTTGTTTTAAACAACCTTGTGTTGTATACAAATAGCTAAAAGCAATGGAGATTGTGCTTCATTTATGCAAATACCCTTTTACAGGAAAAATTATACTTTTTCAGTTATTCCTCGTGCCATCAGGAGGGCTGTAAAGCCGTAGTTCTATTGGCTTTTTTAAATAATAGCTCCTTAAAAATAATAATAAAAAAAATCCAGATCATTCTTTGACCTACTTAGGTGTAGTTAGGTTAGTTTCTGTGATAACAATTTAATTCAAGGGGGATGGATCTAAATATTAATTGCCTTACAGAGGAAACTTCCTAGTAGTCTCAACAAGGCAAATCAGAAAATTCAGGGGCAGTGATACTTTCTGAGCCATCTTGAACAGCTGCATTGTGTTTTTGTGGTAATTTAAGCCAGGGACCAAGGAAGAAGCTGAATAGTTGCTAACCACCCTCCCCTACCTCAGAGCAAGTTGCTTTAGAAAACAGATCTTCCTAGGGTTTGGGATTACTCATTAAGACCTTTCATCTGAGTCCACATCAGTGCTAATAAGTCCTGGCAAGAAATGCCTGACTGGCCCTTTTAGCTTGTAAACTTATATAATAGTCTCCCAGGGAAAGTTATGCTTTTTTTTTCAAGTTGCACATGCATTCTGAGTGTCTCAATGTTCATAGTGAAAAAATAATGTTTCCTAATATCTTTTGTCTTTAAGGAAGCTCCTAGGATCCTTGACGCTAATGATAATGACACTCCTATTTTTCTATAAGACTAATTTGTGATTTAATGTAAATTAATTTTTCAGAGATGAAGTTTAGGTTCTGCTGTTGTTCTACAACTTTTAAGATGGAAGGTATAAATACCTGAGAGAAAACGTGAAAATGGGAACATTTTCTTGTGAAAGTATGAATCTGGTGAAGATAGCAACAAAAATCTCAGCAAGATGAAGATTTCACCTGTGATGTCTTTTGTTCTATCACTTGAAACACTTTCTTGACACATTTAACTTCTCCAGCCATGTTTACCTGTGGCTACATTGGGAACAAAAATATGTAGCAATCATTGTAAGGATCTTGGCATATCTTTGCTGCAGAAGAGTGTAGACCATGAAGTGTTTTGGATCCTTGTGTCTCAGGTGGAATTACATTGCTTCCCACATCTCTCTGAGTCAGCTTTGCTTGGCTGGGTACCTCTTGGCTCAGTCCTGGCCCAGCCTCCGGCCATTCTGAATCCTGAGGCTGTGGCTGAACATCACAGCTCTCTAGCCACTCTCCACAGCATTTCTGGATAATCTGCTATGCCTTGAGGGAAGAAATTTACTGGGAGCCAGATTTTAGAAATAAAGGAGAAGCAGGTATCTTATGCAGCATTTGGCAGATTTTCTGTGGCAGTTGCAGGTGCAAGGACTAATTCATTGTCTCTTCAGCTCAGGCTCATCATGAAAGGATCTGTTTAGGTTTCAAAGAGGCAAAACAATTTCAAATCCCTGTGCTGACTACCCTATCTGTGTCCTTTTTCCTTTTTAAACTCCTTACTCAGGCATGCTTTCTCCCTCACTGCTTTCTGTGCTCATCCCCTTTCCAGGTTAGAAAAGAGGAGTCATGGAGCCAAAATCTTTATTGTTTCAAAATTCCTCATCTACTTTTTTTTTAATAATTCCGAGGTAACTGTGGAGCACTACTTGCTGTCATCCTTCCTCCATGGGCTTGACAGTGCTAGAACAGTGATCTTACCCTTTTCTTTTACCAGGAAATCATTTGAGCCAACTGCAGTGAATGTAAAACTGAATGCGCATGAATTCTGCCATCCATCATGCAAGGCATTACTTTTTTTTTAGCAGACTTGGTTTCTGCTGTTTATAAAGACTCCCTGGTGCCTGTGAAAAGAATAGCAGTAATATGCAAAGGAAGGTTTATGAGTGATTTGAATATTCCTACTTCATCCCAGTAATTAGATTTTAAAAGATTTCGCAGATTGAAGCAGCTTCAGAAACAACAATTCTTTTCTTATTACTATCAACAAGGGGTAGCTGAAAGATGCTTATGATTTCCATCCTTAGTAATACAGTTTAATGCATTGAAATTAGTCATGTTTTATAAAAGCTGATGGGTAACACTGATTTTTATAAGTGGCTCTTTCATTAGCTCAGATATTATTATTGATTAATTTTTATGGTAGGGCCAAAGCAGATCTATTTGTTTTATCACAGGATTACCCACGATGCATAGCAGCTTCTGCTGCCAATTTGTTTAGTGGAGAATATGTACTATATTACAGGATTTTGTTTCATATGACTTTATTAATAGGAGGATTATGGATTTCTGTGGTTAGGTTTACCTAATTATATTAGTCTGTAATGTGAAAGAGCCAGTATGTGTTTGTGTGCAAAACCATTTTTTCCATCAGTAGCATAAAGATCCTTGTAGCAGCCTGTTTTTTTCTGAATGCTTAAATGGCTCTAGAGTTGCATGTACAGTGCTAGGTAAGCATTATTTCTCCAGCTGTTGACTTGTGCTTATTCAAATTACAGATACAATTAAACAAAGTGCCTTCAAAGTTACTGATAAAAACTGGCAGCATTATTTCTGCCTGGGCTCATAAACAGTGCTTGACTTTGCCCAAACCATTCTACCACCCACCTTCCTGCCGGCTATCAGTGGGACATCATGGCAAAATGACAAATGTTCCTTGTTTAATACTTGTTCATGACAAACTGCTTCACACTTCCTTCTGAG